TTTACTGCTACGACCCGGAATTGAATCCCGCATTGGGCACTTTTTTCTAATAAAAAAAAAAAAAAAAATGCTCCAATGGTCCTCAATTCTCGCAAAAGTACAACCCCACCAGTGAGTGAAAGTAAAAAAATAAGACTCTGGCACATTTGTGTGTGCAAAAGTTGAACTGCTTTTTACATGTGTAGACATGTGGTGCACTTACAGTAAAGGCAATCGCCAACTTCTACCTACCATGATTATCATGGTCTGTACCACGAGTATTAGGTAGGGAAAATAAATAATGAATAAAATCAAAAAGCACATCCAGGGCTAAGTTTCTTGCTAGAAACAGCCTTAACACAAGAGTGGGCGTTGATTCCACAGGAGCTGATAAACTCCCTAATTCTTAGTATGGGTCACCGATGTAGAGCCTGTCTATCAGTTAAAGGCGATCACACCCCATATTAACAACAATATCCAAGATATTTATGCACTGACTGCAAGAAGATCATTGCTTGACCGGCTAATTTGCATAAAATATGTAATGAAAATAAACGATAGCAATGTGTTTCTTTAAACGTGAAAATTTTTAATGCAAGCTTTCGGATCTCATCGATCCTTCCACAGGCCGAGCTATAAGCTGAGAGAAAGAAAGAGTATATATAGATGTACAATATTATTTACATACACCTAACGAAGATAGAAAATAAAAATATAAAAATAAAATAAATATAAACACATTTACATAAAATAATATATAAATTTCGCCAGACTGCAGGACATCTACACGTTCGAAAATTAAGACGCAAGACGTGTAGATGTCCTGCAGTCTGGCGAAATTTATATATTATTTTATGTAAATGTGTTTATATTTATTTTATTTTTATATTTTTATTTTTTATCTTCGTTAGGTGTATGTAAATAATATTGTACATCTATATATACTCTTTCTTTCTCTCAGCTTATAGCTCGGCCTGTGGAAGGATCGATGAGATCCGAAAGCTTGCATTAAAAATTTTCACGTTTAAAGAAACACATTGCTATCGTTTATTTTCATTTCATACTTTATAGCAATTCTTTTGTCTATTTGCATAAAATATGTGTTAGAATTCTTTGATTTCGGGTATTCTAATCAATAATGGAATAATAAATTTGTGTATAAAATTTCATTGATAAATGTTCAATAAAATTTGAGATAAATGAAAAAAATATGTTGTTCCTTTATAATTTTGCAGACCAGTGTATATTATTTATTTATTATTTTTGTAAATATATTCATGATTATCTTTCTAACCCGAAAGCTTCAGGTTCCTAATATATATTATTATTATTTTTTTATTTTCAATTATTTTTTTCTTGTGTAATATGCTTATAACTGTTTCTGTTTAAAAATGTAAATCGACACAATTATTACTAGCCGGGATAACGTGTTTTGTGTGTTGAAAACAAAAAAATATATATATATATTAATTTTCTTATTTTAACATGTTCTGAATTTTTTTTGGTCTGCGCTGTTGCTTTAGATATCTTTAATAACGGCTTTTTCTAGTATTGTCTTTTATAGAACACCTTTCTTTGTTTATTTTGGAAGCCATTTTTACTTTTTTTTCTATTTCAAATTTGACGAATGCAAAGATATTCTATTTTAAAAAAATGTGTAAAAATGTATATGACATGCGGCAAAGATAGAATGTAAATGTAAACAAACAATACCGCTAAATATATTGTTTTGAAATTGAGATCTATGAGTTGAAACATGCTCAAAATTTCGTTGTTTTAAAAAAAATCTATTATTTACAATTTTAAGTTCATTATTTTAATTAGAATTTATTATTTTAGGACTTCGTTATAACAATGGTATTGTCAACAGAACCTTAGGTTCTTTATAAGGGAAGGTTCACTATATCCTGGGTTTGTATTAGTGGGGTTTTAGTGTAGTGTGGGACGTTTTTGTATGAGCATTGTTACCAAAATGTCACACACTATTTATTTATTTATTTAGATTAGGTCTCATTTCTTATGTTTCTAATCTTTAATCGAAATTGTACCTAATCATTTAAAAAAGAAAAAAAAATCCATTGTTAGATATGACATTCTCTGGGTAGTTCATGGATGACATCATAAACAAAAAGTTATTGGTTCATCAAGTTAATATTCTTGGTGAATCTGGAAGTGCTGGTCAGCCAGATCATGTGACCAGAAGAGGTGATATGGAGAGATGTCTGGAGAATATGGAAGACTTCCCATTTGAAGTCTTTCGGGGTGTCTTTTTCTGATTGTGTCACATGTGGCCTTGCATTGTCATCGTGAAGCAGTATCAACTTGTCATTGAGCCCATTATGGTTGTTTAACTATTATTTCTTGGCATTGTTGATGCAATGACTGTTTCACCTGGTTGCAGATGTTCATGGCATAGTATGCCAGGCAATCCCACCATAGGTACAGAAGAACCTTCTTGCCACATGGATATTGGGTTTGGGGATCAAAGCTGTTGGCTGTCTGAACTTACCCATGATTTCTTGTACTCCAAATTGTCAAAATATACCTATTTTTCATCCCAAGTCACAATAGGATGAAGATGATAAGGCACGATTTGGATTAAAGATTATAAACACAAGGTAATAAGACCAAATCCAAATAAATAGTGTGTGTCGTTTCGGTAACAATGCTGTTACCAAAACGTCACACACTATTTATTTATTTGGATTTGGTCTTATTACCTTGTGAATAGGATGAAGACTTTCTTTGAAACCTTTCCAACAGGATTTTAGATATCCTTTCTTTAATTTTCCTTATTCTTTTTACACAATTTGTGAGACACCATTTTCCTTCCTTCTGGATCTTTCCCATGTCAAGGGAAGCTGTTAACTATTCTTATTTTTGATCATAAGCCTTCATCCAATAATGCTTGCAGTTCCTCATCCTTGAACTTTTTTTTTCAACTTCCTGCATTCACATTGACATCAAAATCTCCAGATTGTTTGAATTGTTCAAGCCAATATTTACAGGTTCTTAATGAAGGCGCATTGTTGCCACAAGCACTATATAGAGCATTTGAACTTGGGTCGTACTTTTCTTGTGGTTGAAGATAAAGTCAAGCTTCCCGCAAATGAGACTTTCAAGGCACAAAATCTAAAGAGCTTAAAATAAAAATATGCATAAGTTTTTATATCACATATGTGAATAGCTTACATTTGAAACTCTGAATTCAATTTAAAGCAAATCAATAGGCAAAAGTTAGTTTAGGCAAATTAAAAATGATTTTTTTTTTAATGCAGTCATATTTGATAACCCAATAATTTCATCATTCCATAGACCCATGTGTTTGCAAACTGTGTGTGTGTTGAGCCAGCGGAAAAAGAACATACACTATTCAAGGTAATAAGACCAAATCCAAATAAATAAATAGTGTGTGATGTTTCAGTAACAGCGTTGTTACCATCTTCAGACATCTTCACACTATTTATTTATTTGGATTTAGTCTTATTACCTTGTGTTTATAATCTATAATCCAAATTGTGCCTTATCAACATACACTATTGTGTAAATATGTAAATTCAACCTTCACTATGTAATTTAGATTAATGCTGTTGCCCTTGTGAGAATTATCTCACAAAAATAAAAAATATTTATAAACTAGATTTTGTCTTATTTCCAAGGAGTTAGTTATCCTAGCGCATATTTAGGGCTAGAAAATTTTGATCTTAAATCTAGTAAGTCTCTTTAATTGATAATCACCTATATTGTGGATTTGAAGGCAGAACTATTCAAACTTGTCTCGGGCGCCTACAGTGTGTGTGTGTTAGACATACCTAGCAAACAAAGGTAACCCATCCATAAAACTTGAAGCAATGCCAAAATAAACACAATTGCAAAACCTACATACCTTTCTCTCTCTTTCAAAGTTTTCAGCCACCAAATAAATAAAGAGGAGTACAACCAGATATAAATAACACATTATACCTAACTTCTTTTTGGGAACCTGGATTTTTCTCTCCAGATTTATTCCTGTCCTGAGACCTCACACACATATCAGTTCTCTCAGGTAACCTATTATCTAGGAAACACAGGATTGGAAGCAAACATCTGACTGGGAAAAAGTGTGCCAAGTTAAAAATAGAAGAATTTCCAAAATTAGAAGAATAAACAATAGTGAAAAATCCTTCCAAGGGTTAAGTCACTCCTGTCTGATCAAGGTAGAAACACTGCAACCAAAATGCCAGGTAGTGCTAACAAACTACTTGAAAGGTAAAATTTGGATTATAGATATGAAACATATGGTAACAAGACCACACTAAATAAATACACTCATAGACAAATCTTGAAAAAGTTGTATCTTTTACCGTGTATATCATGATTCAGACATTAACTCTGAAAGATATTGGATACACAGTGATCTTTAATGAAGACATATGAGATAACCAAGTGTGAACAAAATTGTCTCTGTCTCCTTAAAAAAAAAATAGATGACCAGTGACATCAAAGACTTTCCACTTCCTTAATTTTTGCCCATGAGTTTAAACAATGTGTGGCGTTTCAGTAAAAATGCTGTTACTAAAACACCACGCATAGTTATTTATTTGGATGTGGTCTTGTTGCTTTATGCCAACTACCTGAATGTCTCCAACACCAGCACAGAATGACAGTAAACTTTGAAGACTGATTCCAAGGGGGAAAAAAATGAAGGGACAACCCAAGAGTTTTGACATAAAGAAAGTAATTGATGGCGATAAGGCACAATTTGGATTATAGATTACTAGGCGAATGACCCGGCTTCGCCCGAGAAATCCCTTGGGTGCAATTTCCTTCATACTAAAAGTATATCAATAATAAATATTAGAAGTGCCATAGAATAGCAATACAGAAGTAACACATAAACTACAGGAAAAAAGTGTGAGTGATGGCAAAAATTGTATTATATTAGTGTTTAGGTATTTGATTTAATTAATATAGTTGATATAATAGTATATATTTATATTATATTTTTTATAAATGAGTTTTAAAAATTGTAAAAAAAAAAATGCCTCGGCCAGGAATCGAACCCGGGCCGCCCGCGTGGCAGGCGAGCATTCTACCACTGAACCACCGATGCTTTAAAAAAATGACCATATTTAGGTATTCATTCCATTCCGGATTAGTCCGCGTAAAAAAAAGTTCTTCAAATTAAAAAAAGAAATAGCCAAAAATACTAATCAAAATGCAGCCGAAAATTTTCCTCAGGTTTATAAAAAGCGACATGCAAAATTTGGTACCAATTGGTTCAGTAGTTTTTGAGTTTATCGCGAAACAGACAGACAGAAATTGACTTTTATATATATAGAGATAAACCCAAGGTAATAAGACCAAATACAAATAAATAAATAGATACTTTTGTCTGAAGATGGTAACAACGCTGTTACCGAAACGTCGCACACTATTTATTTATTTGGATTTGGTCTTATTACCTTGTAATTGATGGCATAAAAATAATATGTAAAATAATGGGGAAGAGATTCAGCATTTGAGTGCTGGGGAGCAGTCAAATAACAGAGCAGAAATACTGGAAGTTTGTGTGTTGACCTGGTGTAGTGTTTTATATCCTATAAAAGAGATAAGAGAATTAATAATAAAATTGTCAAAATTATATAATTAAAAGTATAGTTGGAAAATTTGCCGGGAGGAAATTGATCCATAGAATCCATAGGCTTTGTCACCGACCCAAGGCCGCTAGTTGCGGCGACGGTCAATAGATGGCATCAGGTTTTGACGTTTATTTTGACGGGAGAGGCACCCTATGCTTCTATAATTAAAAGTGTAGGGAATAATCAAAGTAATAAGTGTCATTAAATGGCCAACTCCATGGGCAGCAATGATCTCCCAATCTCCCATGCCTCTAGTGAAACATTCCATCTAGGTATTTGGCCTTGCTGCTTTTCAAACTACAAATATAGAACTGTTCCAGGTGGGGCTTGCTCACTTTCCAAAAAGAAGTCTATGGCTAAGGGCCAAAAAAAAAGAGAAAGGAAGAAAGAAAGCGGTGTATTCAACACCAAGAAGCAGTAGATGTGTCTCTCAAAAATCCTTTTAATGCCCATCTTCAAACAATTTTATTGGATAAATTTTGACGATTTTAGAAAGGAAAAATATTTGGACTGATCTCATCCATTGGTCGCGAACCTTCCCATCGGGTTTGGCAATTTAATCTTCAATAAAAATCCTTTCAATGTGAAAAAGGCCCCAACACCACTTATAAAACAAGGCATTTTCTCAATATCTGTAGTGGTCAGGCAAATCTAGGTTATAGCATCTACTTTGGAAAATTCTGAAAAGACCAAAATGTTGGGTAAGAGCCATTCATCAGATAAAGGGAGGAATCATAGAATTGACCAAATCTGTAAAAAAAAAGTTGTGTTTCAACGATGAAAAATTGTTGGTGAATACCAAAGGTAACAAGGCAAAATACAGATAATTATATGTATTTGTGCACAGCTAAAAGCTGCCTGTTCCTCAAAGAGAAGGTTTGTGTGTGTGTGAATTTGGTCTTGTTACCTTCTTTCTTTTAAAATAAGTATTCTTCCTTTAATATGGTTCCATTCCTCCTTAAGGTAAAATGCAATTCTTTTGTGCGTTTTTAAAAAATCTACACATAATTATAATAAAATCCCTTTGATGCAATCTTGCTTTTATTAGGGGTTTTCTCTTTATTATAGCCAAGATCATTGATCCAACTTTCTATCCATCAAAAAATTATTAGGGATTCCTCACAATATTGAAGTCTCACATCTCGAACCACTTGAAGAGATCATAATAAAGGGATTTCATATATATTATTCCTCCTGTGCCCAGCACTGGAAATGGCAAGAAAATTAAAAGTCATCTCTCTAGTCAAAATAGACGCTGACACTAAGTGTCATCTATTGATTATCTCCTCAAAGTAGAGGCCTCGGGTCAATGACAAAGCCAAAAGACCACCTTTGGCAAACCCAGACAACCAACTGGAGTCCATTGTTTGGGCTAATGGCTCTCATCAGTCCATTGCTGGTCTGGGATCCACCAGGAAATCAAGAAATTCTGGATTTGTCAAAGCTGGTATTGTGTCACCAACCTGAAGCCATTAGTTTGGAGATGCAGTCTGGTATAGATGGCGCTTGGTTTTAGCATCTATTTTGACAGGAGGTTTCTTTTTTGAGTTCATTATCTCTCCTCTTAGCAAAATCTCCATCTGTAAATAACTATGGAGATTACTGTGATGTAAGAATAAAGATTTGAGTGTTTTTGATGGCAAAATATCTAAGTGGTAAACCTATGTATGATTCTATACTGGCCATCAAGCATATGGTTCTATAAAAGAAAAGCATGGATATCATTATGCTATACTCAACCTTAATCTATTTAGTTATGTTTATTGGCTTTCTCCCACTTTACATCTGGTGACGCAATTTCCCTTCTGACATCTTAAAAATTATGGTTATAGACAATTTTGGACACTCTCAACTTTTTAGCTGTATATGTGATGGGTCAATGTTCTAGCACCTACTCGTATATACATTCGGACACAAAATGAAAGAGTTTAATCTTTTCCCATTCAACTATATCGACATACATTTTGAAATATTCCTCAATTATCAATAATCTTTCACTGTTTAGGATGTGAAAATTGGACAATGACTAAAGAACTGGAGAAAAACAAACTCTTTTGACATCTGATGTGTTAGAAGAATTCTAAAGATCAAATGGACAGATAGGTTTGGAGACAAACAAAGAAGTTTGGAAAAGAGAGTAAATAACCTTCTAAATGAATTATTTTAAAAAAGGAAATGGAAAAGACATGTACTCAGGTGGACATCCATTGATCATAGTGTAGAAATCTACCTTGAAGGGAGACCAAGGAAGGATTGGTTCAAACATCTAATAGAATCTAATAGAACGCCATCACCATCTTCTCAGCGGCGAAGTACAAAGTAGATCCCAAAATGCGTGGTGTCGCTGGAGACCCGCTGGCGATTATCCACCAAACTCTGCAGCAGTGGCAGAGGGGCCATGTTCATTGTACATAGTATGATGCATATATATATATATATATATAATTATCTTTTTAAAATAGTGCAGACTGTGCACTTTTGCATGTATTGACAAGATGTCAATAATTGTCATTGTCTAATAGAATGGTCTGGAATTAGATGAAGAAAATTGCTCAAAACAAGGTGGCATTCCACTATAGCTGACCCCCAGAAACTACATGATGGTGCAGCAGCTCTACACTCCCAAGATAGAGGACTGCTGTGATAGAGATGTATGGGGACATCTGAGCCTCTTCATTGACACACCACAACAACAACATGATGGTGGGGAGGAAGAAAAATCAATAAATTTAAAACCAGTTAACTTTACAACTAAGTTTTTTACCATCAGCAAACACACACCAATTATATAAAGAGAATTACAACCATTCAGTCATAGCTCACACAAGATTTGTTAGTTATTCAGCAATCACCTCTGAAGAATTGGAAGAGAATTCATTACCTATAATCATTTAACCCCCATGCAATTCTCAACCTGCAATCCCAAAACACATTATTGACTGTATTGACTCATCCATTGATGAGCTCTACTCTTCCCCGGCAGACACCATCAAAAATCTCAAGCTTTACAGGCTTGACACCCTAATATGATTGAGTGGAGATAAGAAAGAAGATTTAACCCCCAAGGTATAACAAATAAGTAACCTGACAATTTGATAACAATCTTGTGTAATTAAAATAGCACATAGAAATTAATTGGTTTCATTACCTTGAGATTCCTAACTTTCACTAGTATCAATTAAATATGGAATTATTATTCTTTTTTTTGCTTATCCCAAGTACACATGGTACAGGCCATGATAATCATGGTGGGTAGAAGTTGGCGACTGCTTTTACTGTAAGTGCACCACATGTCTACACATGTGAAAAGCAGTTTGACTTTGCAAGTTTATAATATAAACTTGTATGGATTGAATAAGTAAAAGAAGCCTGATTACGACTATCAATTATTTTTAAAAAATCAACAAAACTAAATGAGTAAAACAGATAAAAAGTTTCAGTTGTGTTATCAAATCCTACCAAAACTTTTGATACACAAACATATTTTCTTTCGTTGTATTTTAAAGCAATTTGTTAACACTTTTTGACCTCATTTTTATTTATAGGCTTATATATATATATATATTTTTTTTTTTTAAATTGTAATTTCTTTAAAAATGAAATACAAATAAATGGTTAGTTCATTAAATTTGATATGTATATCCAAATAATTTCAGTAAAACACTAGTATTCTTATTGTGATTAAATGCTACCACCTTTTTCAAAGGATAAAAAAGTTATGGATAAAAAAAAGGTATGAATTATAGAATATTTTAGCTATGAATAATGTTACATTATAACTAAGCTTATGACAATGTCAACCATTCAGTTGATAATGTTCACTAACATAGAACCATATCTTCTTAATCTAAAATTAAATACCTATTATTTATGAATTATCAAACTGAAAATTTTCTAGCTATTCTGTCAATCTAAATTCTGTCAATGCTAAATAAATGGTTTAAAATATTCAAAATTAGTTATTTAGAAGTTATCTTTTGATATGATAGAGCAACAAGTAATTCATGTTTGATTAGTATTGACTTGAAGACTTGAACTAGTAGTCTTTTGATATGTTTTTGGTATAACACTAGAAAGTAGTAGGTTTTATTTATTTACAAAAAAACAAGCGGTGAACATGTTTTCCTGTTTTTTCCTTGTAAATGCTTAATATTTTTATATTTTTGTATAATGTTTTTGGTTTAAAAAATATGTAGAGAGGGCACACAAAAATAATGTTAACGATTTGTTTATAAAATCGTCTGTCGAAATTAAGTTGAAAATATTTATATTCGCTACTTACGTGTATATTCTTAATGCCTCATACCAAGCAAAAATATCGTCGGCGACAAAAACCTAAGTTTGCTTGTAAAACAACGTAATTGGAAGAAAGCTGCCATTAAAACGTCTTTACTATAATTATTTTAAAGTGCGGTATATAGTTTAAACAGCTTACAATATAGTTTGACACAGTACTATTTATTCTCATGTT